ATATTTTCCACCATCGAGATTCTTGATCTCGACGGCGCCATTTATTCCTCACGGCCGCTTCTCATCTTGTCTAGTGGTCTCCCCCTTGGGACACCTCAAGTCCCCGCCACTTCCCGTTTTAGTCTCATTGTTCCGCTCCGCCGGTGGTGCCGTTGACAAAGCCCAATCTCCGACAATTTTTGATTGGCCCCCTTTGGCCCCCGTCGTCATCCCGGTTGACGTCCAATTTTTATTTGGGACTTCTCATGTCCCCGACAGTCCCGTTTTATTATTTTTTTCATGTGTCCCTTGTGCCGTCAATATTTTCTCGGTCACGGGGCCCCCGCCGTGCCGTTGCCGTTTTACCGTCACACCCCCCTAGGCCCACGGCGCCGTTTTCTAGTGTTTTCGGCGTGTCGCGACTCATTTTTCCTTGGTCCGGGCATTCCCATGCAGTCCGTTATTTTCTCGGACTGCATCCACCACCATTTTGCTAGCCCCATAGTCCCATGTCATGCCCCATGCTCAAGGAAAATAAATCGTTAGTTTTCCTAAGGCCTCCGACTCACTTTTGGCTCCCGGAGCCTTAAGAACTTAAGTTTACCCCTCCCCATGCAGTCCGCTACATCTGGGACTGCATTAGGGGCAGTCTCCCTTGCCCCAATGCCCCTCAACTAGTCCCCTACCAAAAGAAAATAAGGCGGCCACTTCCCAAGTGCATCCAGCCTCAATTTTTGGCTCCCGGAGCACTTAGAACTTGATTTTGGCCTCCCCTATGCAATCCGTTATTTTTCGGTTGCATGGGCCTTGTTTTCTTTTAATTTTCTCAGCATAAATCAACGAAAAGCATGGACCTTTGTAACCGTCACATTGCTCAAGTGAATCTGGTCCAAAATCCCTCCCCTAGGTGACCGTTTTTATCTGTTAGTGTCCTTTTTGACTTTTGTCCCTTTTACTTTTTTTTTCTATTCTTTTTCTTTTCTTTTTCCTCCACTTGTGGACAGTTGGGACTTGGTAGTCCCTACTTGCTGCAGTCCCAACTGACGGCCAACTCACTCATCCTCCCTCACACCCATTTTTTTTTTCTTTTTTTTTTCTTTGTGCATGTCAAGTGTAAACTAACCATTAAGGCCCTTTTTTTTTTTTTTTTTTTTTTTTTTTTTTNTTCTCTCCCCCGGGGCTGCCTATGTTACCCTTCCAATTTGCAAAGCTCCTACTTCCCACTGACCTAGCCCCACCCAGGATAGTGTCTGTCTCTTATACACATCTAGATGTGTATAAGAGACAGGTCTGAACTAGCCGTTGAGGCGTTTTTTTTTTTTTTTTTTTTTTTTTTTTTTTTTTTTTTTCCACTTGTGGACAGTTGGGACTTGGCAATCCCTACTTGCTACAATCCCTACTAATGGCCAACTCACTCACTCCCTCTCACCCTCCTTGTCTCATTCTCCCTTAATTTTCTTTTTCTTTTTCTTTTTCTTTTTGCATGCCAAGTGTCAACTAGCCGTTAAGGCCCTTTTCTCAATTTTCTTTTCTTTTCTTTTTCTTTTTCCTCCTTTCTTGGACAGTTGGGACTTGACAGTCCGTACTTGCTACAGTCCCTACTAACGGCCAACTCACTCACTCCCTCTCACTCTCCCACATTTTTCATTTTTATTTTCTTTTTCTTTTTGCATGTCAAGTGTCAACTAGCCGTTAAGGCCCTTTCCTTGCCTCTCCATCTTAGTTTTGACCCTTCTTACACTCAAGGACCAGTCTGTTATTTTTTCGACTGCAGTTGTGGCCCTCCCATGCCCTTGGGAGCCACCATTAACCCTTCTCTCTCCCAAACGGTAAACCCCCTTGCACTGATTTTTTCCGGGAGCCTATTTTTTTTCATGTTGGTCCCCTTTGGCCTTATTTTCTTGGGGGAGACCAATCCGAGATTTTTCTGATTGCTCCCATGCCTCCCACCACTTGTTTCTTTACTGTTTATTTATTTTTTTTCCCTCCGACTTACCCCCACTAGTGCTTGCACTAGTGGTGCTAATAAATTTGGCCGTCACGATCTCCGATCTTGACGGTGCACCTTGTTTTATTTTTTTACACCGCACACCATGCCGCCATTTTACCTTGGGACATCACGGGTCCCCGCCACTGGTTCCACGCTGGTCCCCGACACTAGTCCCGCGGTAATACCGCATTTTCTCTTGGTCTCCTGACCCCCTTGCCGCTGCGCCCTGACGGCCCACTTGGCTTGGCTATGTTTTCCCGTGCCGGCGCCTTACGTTCTATTCCCTTCTGCTTCTTTTCTCTCTTCGCGGCGCTCATCCTTTGTTACTACTATTTCCCCGGCAACCCTTCTCCGTTTCGGGGGAAGCATCACCTTCAGTATTTTCTTGCCGTCCTCTGCCGCTCCCCGTTCCGTCAATCCTTTCTTAGCTCAAGGGTCTCTGCGACTTTGGACAGCCTCTAGCTCCCTACTGTCTACGCTCACACCTTCGATTTTTCTAGCATTCTTGCCTCCGGTTTTCTCTGTCGTGCATAAACTGGTCATATACAACCTCTCGAGTGACGGGAAGTTATTCGGTACTCACCAGTCCCGACACAGCGATGCAAAAACCAAAAATAAACAAAGAAAAGCAGATTCCATTTTCCCTCCTCTATCTATTGTTCCCCCTTTCTTCTCTATTTTCGTTCTGCCCCCCGACTCTTATTTCCAGCAACCTCAATTTGTTGTCCCGGTCGAAGATATGTCCACCGTTACTCTCGATTATGTTGCCAAGCGTGTTTGGTATCTCTGTTGGCGCACCGACGTTCCTTGATTCTGATCCGGCATTGAATTTGTGTTCTGGACCGATGTTGAAGGTTGTTGTCGGTGACGCCTTGGCATACTCCTAGCCGCGGGCCAGTCCGAACCTCGCTTCCAGAGCTCTCGTTGCCTGAACTTTTTATTATCCTGCATATGTTGATCAATCCCTCTGAGGATGTGCACAACCACTGTGTCCGTTGTGGCCCGACCATTCCTCTGCATGGCGCAGTCAAGCACCTGGGCAAATCCCAGCCATAGAAATTGTGTGGCCAGCGACGGTCTACGGGCGTCAACTATGAATTTCGCCCGAAGCATGAAGCAATTAAGCCCCATCATCTCGTCGTCCTCCGCCTGTTCCAACAAACGAATCGCCGATACTCCTTCAAATGGCATCACCGCATAGTTGTTTCCCACCCATTGCTTCGCGACGGCGACAGCTCGTTGCTGCGAGGGATGTTCCTCAAAGATTGCCATTGTGAAGCGGACTTCAAATTCAGCCGCTTCCTGTCCCGTCACCAGAATATCAAGCCCCCCCAAATCACGTCTGAATATCAGCGGCACCACTCGCAGCCGATCCTCCCAACGCAGATCGTCGAAAGCCCTGTCCAAAAGGGGCATTCTTCCTCTAGTGTTTGTCCGCATTTCTTCCCTTCCATCTCCATTTCTGGCTGCCGTTCTGTCCGCCGGTTTCTCTTCTCTGTCCTCTCCTTCCGCCCGGTGTTGAGGTTCAGGTGAACTGAGCCTAACTCTACCCGTGGGGAGGTCCGTCTCATTTGTCTACAGACGGTGAGGGCACCTCAGTTCTTGCATCTTTCGCAGCGGGGGTCCTTGTGCGGCCTCCTCCCTCTCCTCTTCTCCTTGTCTCAACTCTCGGTCCGAGGGTCCTTGTGCACCCTCGTCCCTCCCCCCCTGTCGTCCCTCCCTCCCTCCCTCAATCGATCCCTCCTCGCTTCTCACCGGCGGGGGAGAGAAGGGTCACAGGATGGGATCGGGGGATGGACGCTTGGAACAAGAGGGGGGACAGGCGGGAGGAATAGACACGCGGCGACAGAGTGAGGAGGAAGAAGGCGTGGGGAGATCGGGGGGTGGGCATATGAAACAAGTGGGGGAACAGGCCGGGGGAACAGATACGTGTCAAAAGGAGGCAGAGGAGAGCCCTCGGGAAGTGACGATGGAAATGAATATAAATGAGGGGATTCGAGCGATCGGAGAAGACAGGGATGAAACTATGGAGAGCAGATGCTTTGGATTGGTAGCATGGGTGGATCGTCCTTTAAACCACCCTTTGCGGGCATGCAGCGCCTGGGCAAGAGACGTGGAGAGCACGTGGCATGTGTTGTGGAGAGACACGCACTTGGCGAACGGGGAGGAGACAACCTGTGATGGGGTTACCACGACCTCGACAGTATAGACCGGGGGTGGGATGGGAGGAGCGGAACAAGGAAGGGGGACATGAATGGGGGGGACAAACGGAAGGGTTGCCCCTACTACAGAGCCAAGAGGGAGGGGATCCGCCTCGATCAGGGGAAGGAGGCCACTCCCCCTTTTGTTCCCATTGTCGGTGCCCATATCTGAAATCCGTGTCCCAATTCCAGCCTCTTACCTCCTCTAAGGTTGCCCTCTGCCAATTTGGTTTCCTGCACACATAGGAGGTGGATTTTCTCCCGGTCTACCAATTTTCTGATCTCTCTAGTCTTCCATCTTATCGATCTCTCTCCTAATCCTCGCGTATTCAAAGACGCAATCCGGAGTACATTTTTTGCCATTCTACTGTGTACCTCTGTTGATGGGATCAGGGGATGGACGCTTGGAACAAGAGGGGGGACAGGCGGGAGAAACAGATACGCGGCGACAGAGTGGGGAGGAAGAAGGCGTGGGGAGATCGGGGGGTGGGCATATGAAACAAGTGGGGGAACAGGCCGGGGGAAGAGATACGTGTCGAAAGGAGGCAGAGGAGAGCCCTCGGGGAGTGAGGATGGAAATTAATATAAATGAGGGGATTCGAGCGATCGGTGAAGACAGGGATGAAACTATGGAGGGCAGATGCTTTGGATTGGTAGCATGGGTGGATTGTCCTTTAAACCGCCCTTTGCGGGCATGCAGCGCTTGGACAAGAGACGTGGAGAGCACGTGGCATGGTTTGTGGAGAGACACGCACTTGGCGAACGGGGAGGAGAATAGACAACCTGTGATGGGGTTACCGCGACCTCGACACTATAGACTGGGGGTGGGATGGGAGCAGCGGAACAAGGAAGGGGGACATGAATGGGGGGACAAACGGAAGGGTTGCCCCTACAGCAAAGCCAACAGGGAGGGGATCCGCCTCGATCAGGGGAAGGAGGGGGAAACACGGGGAGGCATGAGGCTAGAGGGAGGGGGATGACAGGACAGCCGAGGGAAACCCAAGAGGAGGAACAAGAGGGGAAAGAGGATAAACAAAGGAGAAAACAGGACGTGGCGATAGAACACGAGTGGCAGGGACTGGACAGGATGGATGCACAAGGGGAGGAAAGAAGGGGGTCCGCGGAAGAAATCGTGGAAACGCAAGAGGAGACCCGGATGGAGAGAGAAAATAAGGAAGAAAGGGAACAAGGGACGACGATGGGTCGGGAGGAGACGGGGCTGCAGAATGCTGAACCGCAAGGGGAAGGAGCACAAAGGCGATCGATACTATCGACGCAAGAGGGGGAACGACAAGAACTGGAGAAACAGGAAGGAAGGGGGAAGGAGAAGGAAACTATGGAGGTTGGACAACCTTCGCAGGTGCCAATGGCACTTTGCGCTGTGAAAACTGCGAATGTGAAATTATTGTAGGAGGAGGTGCGCTTTGATTGAGAAAACGGGACCACAGAACCTTTAGGGCTCCTGTCGGGGACCCTGGGATGAAACAAACGAAAATAGAGGGGTAGCGGGAGCTGGCGATGCGAAAAATGGAAAAAAACTTTGGGCGGTGCGTCGGGATCTGATGGGATGAGAACCGCGAGATAGGTCGAAAGAGGACGGGGCGCAATCCGCGAGATAGGTCGACAGATGACGGGGCGCGATGGGTCGAAAGCTGACCTGGCCGATCTGGGTGATGAGTCGAAAGGGGACAGGGTGGGATACGGTCAGAGGCAACGGGGCATGGGATGGGTGGCGACACTGGCGAGGGCTGGCTTGTGGCTCTACTTGCGTTGGCTATTGGTTGGGTGGGGGGTCATTATGAGAGCCTGATTGCGGGTGTGCTGAAAAGGTTGATTGAGTGGGTGCCGCAAGTGATTGAGTACGTGGGTTGGGGGGAATCTGGGTGTTAGCACGAGGAGGTCAGATCGCCATTACCTTTGCAACATGGACGTTGACTTATTTGATTGGAAGGACCATCTTATGGGCTGGGAAGGAAGGGGCACGTGTGTGGGGGGAATGGTCGAACACTAAGGGGGAGGAGTGGGTTGTCGTGATAGAGGCCTTGGCTGCAACGGCGGTGGGAGCACGCGCGTGGCGATTGGAGCGTGGAGGCGAACGGGGAGGGGGGCGTGGGGTGCTGCAGGGGGGGGGACAGGGAAAGGGAGACGGGGACCGGGATGGAGCGAGGGATTTGGAAGCTTTGGTGAGACATGGTGGGCAGGTGCGGGCGGGTGGGGGAATCGTGAGGCGACAAGGTGTTGACGACGAACGACAGGGGGAGAATGCGGAGGAGGGGGTAGGGACTGGGGAAGAGGGTGTGGGGAAGCCGGGGAACGGTGCGAGGGAATCAAGGATTGAGAAACGACAGGGCCATGGGAAGGCGAGACAAGTAGAAAAGACTGGTGATATCGCTGGGAGAAAAGAGGTTAGAGAAGCGGCGACGCAAACAGGAGTCAGAGCTTCCGCCTATAGTTGGGGATTGCGGGGGGGGGAATTGACTGATACGGACGACGAGAGGAGTGAGGTCGAAGAAAGGAGGGAACGAAGCGCGGGAAAGACTCAACTAAAGGTGAAGGAACTATATGCATGGAATGAGGAGGCGATCAACTGATCGTAACCACAACAAGAGGAAGAGGAGCAACGCTTAAAGGAACCAGGGAGGGGCTGGAGGAGCGGTAGAAGAGCGGGCGGAAAAGGGGGAGGAGAAATCGGGGCAAGAAAGCCGACACTACAACGAAGGAAAGTGGGTGAAAAGTGTGGGAGCGAATCTATCACGGAGCTCGAGCGGGGCGTTAAGTGATCAATCCACCAACACCCAGATGGCGGCGACAAGTGGACATGTGCAGTCGGGTGCACGCTCGCAATACACAATGATGAAGGCGGTGAGTAAAGCAGCCCAAAGTGGGGGTTTCCTGGACGACGACAAGGCTACACATCGAATGGACGGAGATGAGATTAGCTTGGAAGTGGAGCCGGCTCTGGCGCGAATGCATGTGACGTACCTGAGAGCGCATTTGGTCCTGATACGGTTTGAAGGACTTTTGCAGAAATTCTCGTCGGGACTTAAAATGGATCTGATTCGACAATGGGAAGACACATGGCCGACTCTTGTGAGGGGTCCCTTTAGGGGACGTCAGACGGTCGATGGAGGGGGAGTGGTGACGTATTGGGCGCCGACAGCGCTCTTGCGAAACTGGCTGGTGGACACCAGGAAGAACGAGAAGGTGACAGCGGACGGATAGGAACACTTGGCCAAACTGGTACCATGGAAAACGCCGGTGGAAGTGGAATGGGACAAACTGCAGGATCGGAAGTGCCACCCGTGGGTGAAGTTTCTTAACCCCTCGCCGATGGCGAGGCTGTACCTGAGAAACGCTGCGGAACATCTGTTCGGCCATGTGTTAAATGAGGAAGGGGAAAAAATGGTGGATGAGACGAGGAGAGAGGAGATTTGTTTTCGGTTGCACCCGTCGTTGAGACTGATTGGTCTGCGGCGCCTTACAATAGGGCTTGCCTGCTACGGACGCCCGGGGGTGCGATATGTGACAAGTGAGACTCCATGGTGCACTTGTTGTAGAAGACACGGCCACCTAGCAGGCAATATGAGATGTATGACAACCCAAGAAACGAGAAGAGAGCTGAACAGAAGGGAGATTCGATTGAAGGATGATCCGGCGGGACCGAGAAACGAGAAAGCAGAGATTGAGGGCTGGATGCGATCCGAAAAAGAGAATGACAACGCCATCAGTGCGGAACTAATGCTAGATGAGAGTATGGGGGATGTAAGGAGGGTGGCGGGTGTGAGATATCTAACATCATCGGTGAGGATTGAGCCTCTCCCGGGGAACGAGGGGGATCAACAAGAACGAGAGAGAAACGGGGAGGAGCAGAGGCAGCGAGACATGGGTGGAGAGGGAAGGGAGGACAATCGGCAACAGCAAGGCCACCGTAGTATTGATCAAAAGCAAACAGCGATGGAAACGGGGTTGCGTAGGGAGGAGAGTGAAAGCCAACAGGTGCGTAGGGAGGAGAGTGAAAGCCAATAGCAGGAGCGAAGGTGGGAACAAGAGGAACAAGATCGGGAAGGAATCCGTCGTCTAGAAAGGGAGCAGCGACTGCTCATGCGAGCTGTGCCGAATATGAGAGAACAAGAGGAACAAGGCCAACAAGGAATTGCCCGCCTAGAAAGAGAGCAGCAGATGCTGATGCGAGAGGCGGTGAACACGCAGGGCCCGATGGAGGTGGACCAAGTGAAAACAACGCGAGGGGAAACCATGCAAGAAGCGATAGGCATGGAAGGAAGAACGGGAATTCATGTGATGCATATAGAAGAAATGACGGAAACAGGTGAGTATCGACGGGGGAGGATGGGAGAAGAGGAGGAAAATGGGGGGGGGGGGGGGGGGGGACAGATACGTGTCGAAACGAGGCAGAGGAGAGCTCTCGAGGAGTGAGCATGGAAATGAATATAAATGAGGGGATTCGAGTGATCGGAGAAGACAGGGATGAAACTATGGAGGGCAGATGCTTTGGATTGGTAGCATGGGTGGATCGTTCTTTAAACCGCCCTTTGCAGGCATGTAGTGCCTGGACAAGAGACGTGGAGAGCACGTGGCATGCGCTGTGGAGAGACGCACTTGGCGAACGGGGAGGAGAATAGACAACCTGTGATGGGGTTACCGCGACCTCGACACTATAGACCGGGGGTGGGATGGGAGGAGTGGAACAAGGAAGGGGGACATGAATGGCGGGGACAAATGGAAGGGTTGCCCCTACAACAAAGGCAAGAGGGAGAGGATCCGCCTCAATCAGGGGAAGGAGGGGGAAACACGGGGAGGCAGGAGGGTAGAGGGAGGGGGATGACAGGAGAGCCGAGGGAAACCCAAGAGGAGGAACAAGAGGGGAAAGAGGATAAATAAAGGAAGGAACAGGAAGTGGCGATAGAACACGAGCGACAGGGACTGGACGGGATGGATGCACAAGGGGAGGAAAGAAGGGGGTCGGTGGATGAAATCATGGAAACGCAAGAGGAGACCCGGATGGAGAGAGAAAACAAGGAAGAAAGGGAACAAGGGACGACGATGAGTTGGGAGGAGACGGGGCTGCAGAATATTGAACCGCGAGGGGAAGGAGCACAAAGGCGATCGATGTTATCGACGCAAGAGGGGGAACGACAAACTGGAGAAATAGGAAGGAAGGGGGAAGGAAAAGGAAACTATAAAGGTTGGACAACCTTCGCAGGTGCCTGGAACAAGGAGCATACAGGGGGGGAGACTGCATAAACGATCGAGACCCCGAAAGAAGGGGTGACAAAGACGGGGACAGGAGTTGGCGAGGGGGCTGAAAGTGAGAGGAGGACACGTGATCATCTCCAGCTCTGACCAAAGACCGTCGCCAAAAAGGATGGCAAGGAAAACATCGCCGACCAAGGAGAAAAAGAGAACTGGGGGATGGATTTTGGAGAGCCCAAGTTGGGCTGAACGTCAGGCGATTTTGATGAACCCTGGCCCCCGGCCGGTGAGAAGTGAGGAAGGATCGGTTGAGGGAGGGATGGAGGGACGACAAGGAGGGAGGGAGGAGGGTGCACAAGGACCCTCGGCCCAAGAGTTGAGACAAGGAGAAGAGGAGAGGGAGGAGGCCGCACAAGGAACCCCGCTGCGACAAATGCAAGAACTGAGATGCCCTCACCGTCTGCAGACAAATGAGTCGGACCTCCCCACGGGTAGAGTTAGGCTCAGTTCACCTGAACCTCAACACCGGGTGGAAGGAGAGGACAGAGAAGAGCAACCGACAGACAGAACGACTGCCAAAAATAGAGATGGAAGGGAAGAAATGCGGACAAACATTAGAACAAGAATGTCCCTATTGGACAGGGCTTTCAACGATCTGCGTCGGGAGGATCGTCTGCGAGTGGTGCCGCTGATATTCAAACGTGATTTGGGGGGACTTGATATTCTGGTGACAGGACAGGAAGCGGCTGAATTTGAAGTCCGCTTCGCAATGGCAACCTTTGAGGAACATCCCTCGCAGCAACGAGTTGTCGCCGTCGCGAAGCAATGGGTGGGAAACAACTATGCGGTGACGTCGGCGATTCGTTTTTTGGAACGGGCGGAGGACGGTGAGATGATGGGGCTTAATTGCTTCATGCTTCGGGCAGAATTCATAGTTGATGCCCGTAGACTGTCGCTGGTCGCACAATTTCTATGGCAGGACTTTGCCCAGGTGCTTGATTGCGCCATGCTGACGAATGGCCGGGCCACAGCGGACATAATGGTTGTGCACATCCTCAGAGGGATTGATCAACGTCTGCCAGATGATAAAAAGTTCACGCAAGGAGAGTTCTGGGAGCGGGGTCTGGACTGGCCAGCGGCTAGGAGTATGCCAAGGCGTCACCAGCAACAACCTTCAACATCGGCCCATGACACAAATTCAATGCCGGATCTGAATCAAGGAACGTCGGCGCGCCAGCAGAGATACCAGACATGCTTCGCAAGACAATTGAGAGTGATGGTGGACATATCTTCGACCGGGACAACAAATTCAGGTTGCTGGAAATAAGAGACGGGGGGCAGAACGAAAATAGAGAAAAGGGGGGGAACAGTAGATAGAGGAGGGAAGATGGAATCTGCTTTTCTTTGTTTTTTTTCTGTTTTTGCATCGAGGGTGAACGATAAACAGAGGTACACAATAGAATGGCAAAAAATGTACTCCGGATTGCGTCTTTGAATACGCGAGGATTAGGAGAGAGATCAATAAGATGGAAGACTAGAGAGATCAGAAAATTGGTAGACCGGAAAAAAATCCACCTCCTATGTGTGCAGGAAACCAAATTGGCAGAGGGCAAGCTTAGAGGAGGTAAGAGGCTGGAATTGGGACAGGGATTTCAGATATGGGCACTGACAGTGGGAACAAAAGGGGGAGTGGCGGTAATAGCCACAAACACTTCACTGGAAGGGTGTTAGATTTCTTTGTGGACAACCAGGGGAGATGGGCCTGGGTGTGGATAGAAATGGATCAACAAAGGCTCCTGCTGGCCACGGTGTACGCACCGCCGGAGAACTCGGACAGAAAATGGTTTTGGAGGGAGTTGCCGACACATATACCGGACACGGCAAAAACAATTGTAGTGGGGGACTATAGCACGGTGATATGTCCCGGCCTGGACTCGTCGGCGGGAGGGCCTGTGCGTTCGGGCGTGCACGCCCTCCAAAACGATGATGGCAGAATTGACAATGGAGGATGCGTTTAGAGTTAGATGGCCGGAGGAGAAAGGATACACCTGGATTGGGTCGTCAGTGGGGAGACGCAGCAGGTTGGACATGGTATGGATCCACAAGGATTTCTTGCACAGGATGGTGCGAATTGCAGTGATACCTGTGTCGCTGTCGGACCATAAACTGCCGCTAACGGAGCTGGCAATGCCAGCGACGGTGGAAACAGCACCCCCGCCTGCATCGGTGCCTCATTGGGTGTTTCAGGACCCCCTCCATGTTAGGCTGGCAAAGCAACACTGGGACTGTTGGGAAAAAAACAGACAACAAGAAGTCGAGGTGTCGCAGCATTTCCAGCAGGGAATGCAGGAGATCGGTCGTATAATGAGGCTCCGGGCGAGGGCAACAAGACAGGCGCACTTGCGAACAGGGGAGGAATACGTAAGAAGAATGGAAGAATTGGGTCCCCCCGAAGGAGGAGGAGGAGGACGAATGGTGGGCACAGTGGACGATTCTGAAAACACGGTGGGCGGAGTGGCAGCAGATGGAAGCAAGGAACTGGGGGATGGCAAGTAAAGTGAGATGGCTGCAGATGGGGGAAAGAATGACGGCGGCCTTTTTTGCCCAAGTGCAGACGACGATTATAAACACCCTGCGACATCCCTTCCAGGAACAGGCTCCGGAGGCATGCACAACACCAGAGATCCTTCAATATGCACAACAGTTCTATGCGGAGTTGTATCGGGAAACGACGAAATGAGGAGAACAAGAGATGAGGGAGCACGCATGGCAACAGGTGTGGTCGAAATGTACTACGATACTCACACAAGAACAGAAGGAAGCGCTGGACGCAGAAACTACACAGGGGGAGATTGAACGTGCAGCGAAGGACCTTCCGTCAAGAAAAGCGGCCGGACCTGATGGCTTGCTGATGGACCATCTGCAGGTGGTGATGACGACCATATATCCGTTGTTGAAGGTGCTGCTCAACACCTTCTTTGTGAGACGGGAACGAATGCCTGTGGGCTTTGGAGAGGCGATTATAGTGTTGGTATATAAGAAAGGGGAGATGGCAGAGATTAGGAATTGGAGACCGGTGTCCCTTTTGTCAGTGCCATATAAACTGTACGCCAAAGTTTTGGCGAACAGGGTGGCTGAGCTGCTGCCAGGGCTGGTCCACCAGACCCCAACGGGCTTCGTGAGACAGCATCAGATTTTGACGAATGTGATACTGGTCAGAGAGGTGCTGCAGAGAGCAGCACAGACGGATCCGCCGTTGGCAGTACTTTTGCTGGATTTTGAAAAAGCATATGACCGGGTGTGATGGCCCTTCTTGATACAAGGTTTGGAAGAGAGAGGATTTGTCCAGAACTTTGTGAAGGCGGTGGAAAACCTGATGGGCTCGGCTACAACATGCTTGCAAATTAACGGCTTTCGATCATGACCGCTGAAAGCCACACGGTCTGTTCGCCAAGGTTGCCCTCTCTCGTAGGCCTTGTATGTGCTCTTTGTGGAACACCTGCACGATATGATTCGGGCCGATGATGACATTCATGGTCTTCGATTACCCGACATTCAAGAATTGAAATCAAACAGCTTCGCGGATGACACAACGACTATTACAGAAGCGTCACCGCCTAGTATAAATGCCCCCAAGGAGAAGGTCGAAGCGTTTGAATGTTTTGCTGGGGCGAAGGTCAACTGGGCTAAGTCAACAGTGGTGTTGCCGGAAAGTGCAGACACAAGCTTCTTCCAAGGGATGACGATAGTTCCGGCAGGGCAAGAGGTCAAATACTTGGGAATATTGTTGCCTGCGGCGCTGACTAATGGTAAACAGATGGAGGGTTTGTTGATGGAAGCAATTGGGAAGATGAACCGTTGGGCGAAGGGGGCAGAACTGGGGATAGTATGAAGGGTGATAATTGCCAACAATGCGGTCTTCTCCACTTTGTGGTATGCGGCCCCGTTGTCGTCACCAGAAAAAAAGGCCTAGAGGGAGTACAAGCTGGCGCTGTGCCGATACCTGTGGAAAAACGATCCGGGAACGGAACACCTTATCTACAGGGTCAGGTGGGAGAAACTTACGCAGTTCCGGAAAGAGGGGGGTATGGCACTGTTGGACCCGCACAAGCAAGCTTCCGTGCTCCAAATGCGCACAGTGATGTGGTTGCTGTTGGAAATAGATGACGCCCCGTGGAAAATTGCGGTGCTGGCCAGCATGGCACAAACTCTCAAGGTTGACCCAGCGGATGTGGAGACTGACAAGAGATACGATGTGGACACAGACCCTGCAGGAATGGAAGAAAGCGGCACTGGTATAAACATAAACGGCCCCATAGTCGATGTCCAAGGTGCTGGGCCAATCGTTGTTTGGCAACCAATACATATGCAAGACTGGGAGACCTTTCCCGTGGCAAGGGGAACAGGGAGCATTTGGAAGGCAGTGGTTGAAATGTGGAGTGTACCAGGTGTTGGACCTGTGGGACGGGGAGAGGGGGGACTGGAAGAGGGATGATCAGTTGGAAGTTCACCTCAGACACCAACCTGAGAGACAAACACGGCTGCGGCAGCGAAGGGAGGAAATACCTGCGGACTGAATACAAATGATAAAGAAAAAGGAGAGGGTGAGAGGGGAATGGGTGGCAATAGATACAGAGGACCCACCACAGACCCTGTTCCGCCTGCGGGGATGAGAGGAGGAATGGTATAGGGCCAAGGGCTGAAAAATTAAAGGATTGGAGGCGGCACTCGGAGAACAGATGGACCGGGCGTCGGAGCGGGACGGTCTAATACATGCTCGGAATATGAGGTCAGTGGTGGTTCTAAAGGACCGAATGCAAAAACACGGAGAGAGGTACAGACCGTATAAGCCTGCGAAGACACCGATGCAACTGTCATGGGACCCATTGTAGGGACCGTACCCTGAAGGACTTTCGAGCCCGAGTCGACCCCACTGCGGGTTCCATTTGGCTCGACCCGCCCACGCTCACGCTCAGGGCGCGGGTCGTTCGTCCCAGGGGCACTCCCACCTAGTGCTATGAGATGGATGGGGATGGTTCATTTGCGAGAGGGCTTTACATTGGGGGATGTAGCTCCGCTCTTGCGTTAGATGGTAGCTCTTTGGTCACTCGCGGCGTTTTCTCGGTTCGGTTAAGTGTGGCCAGGCAATTGCTCCTTCCAATACACAAGCACTCCAGGGAATTCGTTGAGAGTTCTTCTTCTTTCGTGTGTAGGCCAAGCGTCATCCATTGGGTCACACACCTTTTCACTAAGCATGACAATCTCTATGGCGTCATCGAGGTGCGGCCGCGCCGTCCATCTGTGTATACAGCCGTACGAATACGGCCCGTCCGCACGTCCGGACATCCGTACGTACGGGCCCCCCGGCACCCGTACGGTCCGTACGTACGGACTTCGGGGCCTTCGGGTTTTTTTTTTTTTTTTTTTTTTTTTCACCTCAATACTCCTGATCGGATGCTAGGTGTGCTGATAAGAGCATACACATCTAGCACTGTCAGGCAAGCTTCATCTATTTGTGGGGAGCAGCACATGCTGGAAATCGGGTCCAGCGTCCCCTTGGATACATCTTTGTAGCACAGTGTTTATTGGGCATATGGCCATTAGAGTTGTTGTTTCCGAGCTTCATTCTCTCCCCCGGGGCTGCCTATGTTACCCTTCCAATTTGCAAAGCTCCTACTTCCCACTGACCTAGCCCCACCCAGGATAGTGTTCGCCGTGCTTTAATGTCTACGCATTCCTGGCGGTAATGGCTAAACTCCTACCCTTGGTGTCTGCAACCCCCCATTTTCTAAAACCCTTTGTACCTGTTAAACCTTATACCCTCATCC